CAACATAAGTTAAGTGATGATGAGTATACCGAATCACTAGTTCAAAACTTATTAGAGTTGGACGAAATAAAGTTAGACGTCCTAGATAGATTACAAGTTCAAAAACGAAGAATGACTAAATTTTATAATAAGAAAGTTATAGCCAAGTCGTTCAGCTTGGGCGAACTGGTTTGAAAAACAGTTCTCCCTTTGGATAGAAAAGATCCAAAGTATGGCAAATGATCTCCCAACTGGGAAGGACCATATAAAATGAATAACGTATTGCCTAATGGAGCCTATCATTTGGAAGATTTAGACGGCACCAAACACATGAGGTTCATTAATGGCAAATATTTGAAAACGTATGTTCTTTCCTTATGGGAAAGTGAACAAATAAAAGCATAACCAAATTGCATTGAACGATCGTAGAGTAAAAAGGGCTAGAGCGAAATACGTTCAAATAAATTCCTTTATTATCAAATGTTCATTACAAAAACTGCGAAATACAAGATGCTAAATGCTCTATAAACTACGATTAAGAGCAAACTAATCTCCCAGTCGATTGTCGAGTAAGAGGGTGTACTGGCCTTGATCGCTGTCCTGATCGCACTACAGCAGAGGCAAGTAGAGAGGCCGAGAAGCACTCTCAGCAAGCAGAAAGGAAGATGAAGCGCCCTCACATCGCCTTCCTAAATGCATCGCTGCAACGACAGGCAAGGAGGCTGAGAAGCACTCTCAGCAAGCAAGGTGGCCTGCAAGCACCCTAAAAATTGCCTTCCATCATTGAACTCCTTGTAGGAGAGGAGACGATGGGAAGAACTTTGCTGCTGGCCAAAGAATATTTTCTATATCTCCCATACCAAAGGTGACATCAAGAAAGATGGCAAAGTGGGTGGATCAGATGACCCATTTCCATGGAAAACGAAAGCTTTTGATTGATTGTCAAAAATACTAAGCAATGGCAGCAAATTGATTTTTTGAAGAAGAAAATGGAAATGAAGATGGAAAGTATGAAGTATACGTGCATTTATAGTGGGGTGAAGGTGAAAAGACAGAATATAATGTACATTTATTGTGGGGTGAAGGTGAAAAGATAGAATATGAGCAGCCATATTCGTGCCTAGTAAATGGGATTAAATGGCCCAAAATCGGGCAGAAATATCAAAAGAAAATGTACAAAAATTTTAGCATAAAGCAGTTAAATGCCTGAGCGATTGACAATTAAAAGACGAACGTCAATAAATGCACAAAAAGCTAAAATAGTTACTCATTGACAATGATGGCTGCTGTTATATCAGTAAAGGTTACAAAGGGAAAGTCAAATGTGAAATTACAAAAAGAAAAGTTAAAGCATTATACGTTTTAATTACAATTCGCCCCATACCAAACGAAATCTTTCCATAAGTTTCCCCCGGTCCTCGTTCTGCCGAGAAGAAGTGATGTTTAATTCGGCCACAACATCATCATGAACTTCCAACTTCTTGTACTGCTCGACCAAAGACTTAGTTCGCTCAATTCCTTGGGAGGCATTACGTTTTTTAGCAGCCATTCTCGCCTTGCAGTCGTCCATCTTGGCTTAAGCTCCTTCATCTGAGCAGCCAAACTAGTCATCAAAGAGTCTTCAATCATGACTTCGGAAGAGATTTCTTTCAACTCGTCCTCAACTTTGTTGATCTCCAGAAGCAAAGACTCTTTTTCAGATACGATGCGAAGATACTGAGTACTTTTAGCCTTCAGTTCAACATTCTTGGCCAGCAAGGAAAGGACCTCGGAATGGATAACTTTCAACGTCGCTTTAAAATCAGTAGAAAGATTGAGCGATGGAAGTGTCAGTGCTTGCTCCTATTTCGCATTCAAATGCTCAAGCTTATCCTTATGCCTGGCAGTACTAGCCTTATCGATGTTCATAGCCATGAACGACACATACTCAAATATCGACTGCTTGAGGAACTTCATATCGTCCTCTGAAGAAGTAGAAGGACAACTGGCTGAAGCAGGACGAGATGTTTTGACTTGCCCCCAGAAAGCAAACAAGTCTTGAATGGAACGCACAATTTTATCAGCATCCTACAAAGAAAATCGCCAATATTGAAGGTTTCCACTACACTAAACAAAGTAGAAGTAAAGGTGAAGCAAAGATTACCTCATCAGCAATCTTGGAAGATGGCATATCCCCAACCAAATCTGCCACCTGTGGCTCCACCATTCGTAAGGACTTCTCCTTGTCTAAACGAGAAGACCTTGCCGCAACGGGCAGACTCATGGGAACATCTGCAGAACTCAAAAGGCAACAAAATCAACACCAACAGCACAAGCAAAGGTAAAGCAACAAAAAACGAATTATCTTCTGCTTCAACGTTTGGGGGGTCAACGCCCTGGGAAGAAGGTGGCATGTCCATTGGTTGTGATGAAGATTCTGGGACTGAAGATTTCTCTTTAAACGTAGTCCCTTCATCAGCTGGTGTGGACGAAGCAGCCCCAACAGAGGATGATGGAGCAGAAGCTGCCAACACCAAAGCCTTCAAGGGAGAGGTTGAACTTTTCTGAGAAGTCCAAATAAACTATCAGCACAAGGAAAAATCTCAAGTATGGAAAGGTATGCTTATGAGTAAACCAATTTAATTACCTTCATCCTGACGATGAGAGGGGTATCATCATCATCAACAGCATCATCCTCCAAAATGGGAGACGCTGAGGCTGGCCGTTTGCTGCTTGGGGCACTTTTAGCCGCAGTGGGCTTGGCAGGAAGAGAAGTCGATGGACGGGCAGATTTTTTAGCACGAGCAGAGAAAGAGGGACTCCTAATGGACACAGGAGTGACCAAAACAGGAGAGGTAGAAGAAACGTTTGGCTGGTCTAGTGAATGGAAAGCATGATTGACATCAGTCACAAACAATCTGCGCTTCACTGACGGCCAGAGTCGTTCAAAAGGGAGATGGATGGCACGGCTAGGATTGAAGGGGGCTAATGAAAAGTTGCTCGTCAAAAGAAGATTGCGAGTATTTATAGCCTCTGCCTCCACCTTATTAATGGTGTGAAAGCGGTCTATCAAATTCTTTGAATAGCAAGGGGGAATGGGCCAAGTTTGGCCAAAACCAAGTTGACGAGCAAAAAATTGGGGAGCATATATTTCCACCCCAGCCTTGGCATTGGTCCCAGTCAAAATATCATGAAACAACTCCCTCCCGGTCAAAAACTGAATCCAAACCAACAAGGAAGTGTTCGCACTATCCAGAGTGGATGGAGGTTGCACATAATCTGGAGTCAAAAAGGGAGGAAAAGGAAAGAAAGAAGGGATTGAATCCAAAGTATAAAAGAATGAAAAAAATGTCCCTTTTGGACATATTTACAGGAGCCAGGGGCTCAATGGCTAGCCCATAGCAGCTTGCAGAAGGACTGGAAAAAGATGGAACACCAAGCGATGGAAAATAAACTCTCAACTACATTTTAGCGAACCAAAGAGGCCCACTGCCAGCGGGAGATGCACCATTTTTCAATTGGGATTGAAGAGAAGCCATGCCTCTATAGAGGGTAGCTAAAAAGAAAGAACATAAATTCAGAGGCCTACCACACGCCAATTCGTGCGCTATGGGTAAATAGCTCAGGAAGGGCTTTATGCTTGGCACACACAAAATGTATTTACAAAGCCAAATTAAAAGAAAGGCCACTCGCTCAGTATGGGAAGGCTCAGTGCTCGAGTGGTTATGAAAGGTTTGCAGGCTTGAATAAGACTCGGTGAGGCCTTTACCAAATTTTGGGGCAACACCAGAAATCAAAATACCAGGAAAAATGGTATCGCCCAAAGGTGGCAGATTTACTAGGGCCCCAACATCCCTTAAGGTAATGGACATGTGACCAAGAGGAAAAACAAAAGTATTATACTCAGAAGACCAAAAACTTAAAGCGATTGGAAAAAGTACTGGGTCAAAAATCGGGGGTTGAAGAGAGATTTCTAACAAATCAGAAATCCTAACATTATCAAAAATTGCCTTAGTAGGACCATGGTCCACAAGGCGAGCATGCCATCTATGAAAAACGACATCAGATTTAGACCAAGTGCGAATACCTCTTTCGCGAAGTGGCCACAGCTGCAAAGAATTTAGAAACGGAGGGCCCTGAGTACAAGGGAACAGTTGATCGACCGTCGCTTGTTCGATGGCCTCGGCATTGTTGAATAAATGACGTAGATAGAACTCATTGAGTTCGACATTGGCCGGTGTAAGGAAGTTCAGAGTTACATATGGCCGAGTAAGAAGTTTCTGAAAGTCTTCGAAACTGAAGGAGTCACCAGACTGAGATTGTGAAGCAGCCATTAGGGACGAAATAGAATTTTGCAGAGTTACGGAGCAGAGAAGTAAGGAGATGAACAGTAATGTTGCGAGAGATGCGCGAAAAAATGAGGCGTGATTTAGTGGAGCAATGAAATAGCATATTTGGGGGTTATAAGGGTTTGCAAACGTCGCACCTTTTCAGGCTATGGAAGAAAACAATGATTGAAATTTTTCGAAATTTTGAATGTTGCTGGGAAACACAAAGTGAATATGGCAAAAATTAATAATTGGTATTAGTTCTGCCATATTGGGGGGTAATTGTTGACACACAAAAAGTTCAGCTCAAGTTGAATAGCCCAAAGAATGAAGCCCAACTGGAAGGTCCCAAAAAAAAATCAAATAGCCCAAAGAACGAGTCAATCAAGAAATGCAGGATAAAGGTCCAAATAGGGAAGCCCATGAAAGCGGTAATACCATCGCCCAAGGTTGCAAGTCGCCCAAGATTTGAGCGAATGAATTGCCATGCAGTCGCCCAGAGCTGTGACCCTGCTCTCGTCCAAACACTCGAGTCGCCTAGCATCTTAGCAAATATGAGATGTTATGGTTACCCAAAAGTGCAGTTATTGAGTAGTCCTACAACGTCCCACGATTCAAGGAATTCAATTGAAGACGGTTGAAGGACAAAAGTAATGGCAGCAGTTAGAGAAGGCAGTTTCATGACAAGTTGGCCACTACAAGGAAAGTGGACAGTTATAGAGCGATCCAAATGCTCACAAGCTGAACCAAATCCAATCCGCACTGTGGTCCATGGCTCGGATACAGGTGATCTTCGAGGCTTCCATTTGGCATCAGGGGAAGGACAATGGCCTTAAAATCTGGCGTGCTGCATATTGTTATGATCCTGATCAAATTTCTGTGCCTGGTTCTTTTCAGAATTTGGCATTCCCTTTTAAAGCTCCCGGAAACTTCTCCGTCTGCTTTAAAGTGCAGAACTTTCACAGCTATCCTCGTGTTATCTTGAAGAACTCCTTTATAAACATGACCAAATCTACCTGATCCGATTAGGGTTGAGGGACTAAATCCTCCTGTGGCTTCAAGGTGTTGTCGATGAGTAATTCTTGGGTATTTTATCTCTTTTCTCATTGCTTCTTTTTCATTTTCAATGCCCTTCATATTAAAAACCGTTGATTTCCTTCTGAATTTTGATCTGAGTAGTAAAGGATATCCAGCTACGCAGAAAATAGGAATGATGAGTAATGAAAGGAGAATTGCCACTAATAAATTGTGAGTTAGTTTTCTGTGACATTTTCGCATCCCTTCTATGGAACCACAGAGCCTGTTATTCCCGAGGAAAGATTTGATGGTTAGTGAAGAAAATGCATCATTGTTCGTTATGTCTCCAGAGAAGCAATTGTAAGAAAAATTCAGTTGCTTCAAAGTAGACGAAGCCTGCAGAGAATCTGGTATCTCTCCTGTTAATTGATTGAAGGACACATCAAGTTCTTTGAGATACCGCAAGTTTCCTATAGACGCTGGCAGTGGCCCTTCAAAATATTTCTTGAAAGGTTGAGGTTCTCTAGAGCAATACAGCTTCCAAGTTGGGAGGGGATCGTGCTCGAGAGGTTGTTTGATGATAGGTCAATGGCTAGAACCATGTTCATTTTTGTCAGCTCCAGTGGAATATGCCCTTGCAGGTGATTGCTGGATAAGTTTAAGTATAGTTTCAAACTACTCAAACTAGCAACTTCAATTGGAATTGTCCCTGAAATCCTGTTGTAAGAAAGGTCAAGAATTTCCAAGTTAATGCATTTTCCTAGGCTTGGTGGGATTGGACCTGAGAGCTGATTGTCATAAAGAAATAGTCTTCTTAGCTGAGAAAGGTTAGCAAAGCTTTCAGGGATTGTACCGCAGAGTTTGTTTTTCGACACATCAAGGAGGCCTAAATGAGGAACATTGCCAAAAGCCGAGGGAATATGTCCAGAGAGTGAATTATTCGATAGATACAATCTCTCCAGCGACCCCAGTTGAAAAAGTTCAGGAGGGATTGAACCATTGAGGAGAATATTATTAGACAAGTTCAATAGAGTGATATTGAAAAGATTTGAAATTTCTGGAGGAATTGGACCATGAATATGATTATCATCAAGATTTATCTTTGCAAGTTTAGTAGAGAGAGTACCAATAATAGAAGGCAACTCTCCCCCAAGATGATTTCCTGCCAAATTGAGTTCTGTCAAGTTAGAGCAATTAGCCAAAGAAGCAAAAAATGGCTTGAGGTCAGTGTTACCATTATGACTAGAGAACCGGTTTTCCGACAACTGTAGAATTTGCAAGTGTACCATTTTACCCACAATCTGAAAGCGGTAATACCATCGCCCAAGGTTGCAAGTCGCCCAAGATTTGAGCGAATGAATTGCCATGCAGTCGCCCAGAGCTGTGACCCTGCTCTCGTCCAAACACTCGAGTCGCCTAGCATCTTAGCAAATATGAGATGTTATGGTTACCCAAAAGTGCAGTTATTGAGTAGTCCTACAACGTCCCACGATTCAAGGAATTCAATTGAAGACGGTTGAAGGACAAAAGTAATGGCAGCAGTTAGAGAAGGCAGTTTCATGACAAGTTGGCCACTACAAGGAAAGTGGACAGTTATAGAGCGATCAAGCAGTTTTTAAGCGGTTGATCATGAAGAGATCATCCAGGGAATATAAAAGGAAGAAAAGACATAGAGCAGAGGACCCCGAATCAAACACTCTCAAACAGAGAATATATAACATTCAATTTCTTAGTTTAGATTTAAACACTTCTTTTACAGTAACTCGTGTGCTTGCTCCTCTTGGAGGCTTTCTTTTTTATTTTCCAATTGTAAAGTCATCGCCAATAAAAACGCCCCTTTTTGGGATTTTGTCTCAAGAGGTTTGTCCCTTACACAATCTTCTGATCCCTTTTTAATTGTTAGCGACTAACCCGCACGAAACACTACCAGGCCAGGTCAGTCTTGCAGAAAGTCTAGCACAAAAACCTGGGCAAGTCACCGGGCTCGCATCTTTTTAAAACTGTTTTTGCTTTTCTTATTATAGCACACGCTGGTCTACGTACCCATTCTTGACACCAACTGTGCTAGACAATTGATGTGCTGAGCCACCCTGGAACATGGCAGCGGGGCATAGGTTGACAACTCTGTGTAAAAGTAACCATAGGGCCAACAATTTAGCGCAATTAGCAATATTACATGAAACATTAATATTCTTTGCTCTTCTAATTTACCAAGAAAAAATCTTATGCAAAAAACTGGAAGTGACTGCTTGTCAAGTTTAAAGATAAAAATTTATAGAACTACATGGCAATGAAAATTTGAATCTACCTGAAATAGTTTAATCCTTGCTATATAACAGAAAAACTAGTACCCTTCAATTATCTGTAGAATGTTTTTGTTGCCTTTATAGATACAAAAATTTTATTTTAGTTTCTTGATGCTTATTCAATGAGCAGGTTCGAAGGACTAGAAAGATATTGCTTCAGACGATTGATTTCATAAGCTACGTCCAGCATGGTTGGTCTAGTTAACGGATTGTACTGTGTGCAGATTAGCCCGAGTTCGATCAATTCCAAGATCACGTCACGCCATATCTTTGTGCTGTCAAGTTGAACGGTGGCGCATGGTGCACACCTTTCTATTGCTCCTTCAACAATTGGCTCGAGTCTGTTTGGGTAGTGCCTTTTAACCCATTCGTGAAGAGTCGGACCTTCTTTAAAAAGGATATCAGTTGGACGTCTCCCTGCCGCTATCTCTAACAGAAGTACCCCAAGGCTATAAACATCTCCTTGAGGTGATGCCTGCTTTCCCATTCCATATTCTGCAATTGGAAAGACAAATTGAGATTTGTCAGTAGGGGCTATTATGATCAACATAATTATGCAAATAAAAATTGATTTAGACGTTAAAACGGGACATGTGCTATGTAGTACTGAGCAGAATTTTGTGTTCCGATGTCAAATAATTAGCATACTTTTTCGAATTTCAGATATTTTATGAATAGAATATTATGAAGATCACTCACCAGGAGCAATATAACCAACTGAACCACAAACCAAACCATCTGTAGAGCCGAAGGAATAAGCTGCCGAATCATTGACTGAAAAATTCTCATCAGCAACTTTTACCAATCTTGAGATGCCAAAATCAGTGACCAAAGCTGTCATATCGTCATCGAGGAGAATATTGCTTGGCTTAAGATCACAATGCACAACTTTTATGGGTGAATAGTGATGCAGATAGGCCATCCCTTCAGCCACATCACTGCAAATGCTCACAAGCTGAACCAAATCCAATCCGCACTGTGGTCCATGGCTCGGATACAGGTGATCTTCGAGGCTTCCATTTGGCATCAGGGGAAGGACAATGGCCTTAAAATCTGGCGTGCTGCATATTGTTATGATCCTGATCAAATTTCTGTGCCTGGTTCTTTTCAGAATTTGGCATTCCCTTTTAAAGCTCCCGGAAACTTCTCCGTCTGCTTTAAAGTGCAGAACTTTCACAGCTATCCTCGTGTTATCTTGAAGAACTCCTTTATAAACATGACCAAATCTACCTGATCCGATAAGGGTTGAGGGACTAAATCCTCCTGTGGCTTCAAGGTGTTGTCGATGAGTAATTCTTGGGTATTTTATCTCTTTTCTCATTGCTTCTTTTTCATTTTCAATGCCCTTCATATTAAAAACCGTTGATTTCCTTCTGAATTTTGATCTGAGTAGTAAAGGATATCCAGCTACGCAGAAAATAGGAATGATGAGTAATGAAAGGAGAATTGCCACTAATAAATTGTGAGTTAGTTTTCTGTGACATTTTCGCATCCCTTCTATGGAACCACAGAGCCTGTTATTCCCGAGGAAAGATTTGATGGTTAGTGAAGAAAATGCATCATTGTTCGTTATGTCTCCAGAGAAGCAATTGTAAGAAAAATTCAGTTGCTTCAAAGTAGACGAAGCCTGCAGAGAATCTGGTATCTTTCCTGTTAATTGATTGAAGGACACATCAAGTTCTTTGAGATACCGCAAGTTTCCTATAGACGCTGGCAGTGGCCCTTCAAAATATTTCTTGAAAGGTTGAGGTTCTCTAGAGCAATACAGCTTCCAAGTTGGGAGGGGATCGTGCTCGAGAGGTTGTTTGATTAGAATGTTTTTGTTGCCTTTATAGATACAAAAATTTTATTTTAGTTTCTTGATGCTTATTCAATGAGCAGGTTCGAAGGACTAGAAAGATATTGCTTCAGACGATTGCACATCAAGGAGGCCTAAATGAGGAACATTGCCAAAAGCCGAGGGAATATGTCCAGAGAGTGAATTATTCGATAGATACAATCTCTCCAGCGACCCCAGTTGAAAAAGTTCAGGAGGGATCGAACCATTGAGGAGAATATTATTAGACAAGTTCAATAGAGTGATATTGAAAAGATTTGAAATCTCTGGAGGAATTGGACCATGAATATGATTATCATCAAGATTTATCTTTGCAAGTTTAGTAGAGAGAGTACCAATAATAGAAGGCAACTCTCCCCCAAGATGATTTCCTGCCAAATTGAGTTCTGTCAAGTTAGAGCAATTAGCCAAAGAAGCAAAAAATGGTTTAAGGTCAGTGTTACCAAAATGACTTGAGAACCGGTTGTAGGACAACTGCAGACTTTGCAAGTGAACCATTTTACCCACAACCTTAGATGGTAACTCTCCAGTTAGTGAGTTCGACCCCAAGTCGAGCCATTCTAGCTTTGAAGAGTTTGAAAGGGCTTGAGGAACTTCTCCCTCAAGATGGTTCGACCAAAGAAGGAGATATTTCAGCTCTTTAAGCTCACATTGATTCTTCCAGTGGATTTCACCAGTAAGTGAATTGTTGGAAAGGTCTAAATACTTCAGAGAAGTGCCATTACAAAAAATTGAAATGGGTATGTCACCTGTCAGCTTGTTACTTCCCAAATTAAGATACTCTAATTGATGAAGAAATCCCAACTCATTTGGGATGTGTCCTTCAAGACGATTGGATAATAAGCTGATCGCTTGGAGTTGGGAAAGAGAACCAAGTTCAGCAGGGACGTGACCTTCAAAGAAATTTCCGGACAGATCAAGAATCGACAAGTAAGAAAGCTTGGAAAGAGATGGCGCAATGGTTCCGTGTAGCGATTTTTCACTTAAAGTAAGCTTTACAACTCTACTCCCATTGTCACATTTTACACCTGACCAGTTGCATACATCAGAAGAATTCCAATTCTCTAAAGCATTTTTGGGGTCACTAGTGATTTGAGACATGAACGATACAAGGGAAGCTCGATCGTCCAAAACTTGTACCCCATTTTCTGCGCGTACCACGTAAAAAACTATGGTCAAGAGAAGCAAATTGATCGCGGAAAATTTTCGATACCCCATTACTGTATATATACGATCAAATCGATTCTTTAGAAAGAAGGAAGAACTTCGAGAGAGACTAGTGTATATAAAAGAGGGTTGAGGGAAAATGATGTGCACTTGTTACAAGGGTGTCACTAGTGATGTCCAACAGTAAGAAGTTAATGCAAGAAATTGGAACCCTTTCTGCCTAAATTTATATGAAGCCGATCGTTGACAATGAGCATGAACACTTGTTGCCATGTAAGTGTACGCCCTTGTTTGGTCCTAATTTATTAAATTTTATTTTTTTCTCAAATTCATTTTCTTCCAACGGTGGCGTACATTTGGTGGTTTACATGTAATTAGGCCTAACTATGTGTTATGTGGTTCCTTGAGGGATTAGTGGATGATGCGTTGTAAAATTTAAGATAATTTAAGTTATAAGCACGTTAAGATTTGACGATAGGATAATATATGTAAATGGGAAACTTTTAATTCTGGTAGGGATGTCGAGCTCGCGTTGTGCATTGTGCATGTTGATGTCACTCTTATTTATACTTGTGCATATTCAAGGGTTCTTTGATAAAATCTTTGTTAAAAGTTTTCACATATTTTGTAAAAGTTGATGAAATGCGTGATTGAAAAATTGTGAATCCCATGATACGAAATAGTCTTCTTAGCTGAGAAAGGTTAGCAAAGCTTTCAGGGATTGTACCGCGGAGTTTGTTTTTTGACACATCAAGGAGGCCTAAATGAGGAACATTGCCAAAAGCCGAGGGAATATGTCCAGAGAGTGAATTATTCGATAGATACAATCTCTCCAGCGACCCCAGTTGAAAAAGTTCAGGAGGGATCGAACCATTGAGGAGAATATTATTAGACAAGTTCAATAGAGTGATATTGAAAAGATTTGAAATCTCTGGAGGAATTGGACCATGAATATGATTATCATCAAGATTTATCTTTG